CCTCAGCCAATTATCTGCAAGCACTGTTTGGGTATTCTGACAGCAGGAGGTTTGTTCATTCACACTGTTAGCATGCATGGAGAAATCTGCCATGGATTTTTCAAATATAACTTTGCTTGTGTGTATGAGAACTGGAGACTGTTTTGTTGCAATCGACGAGTTGACATAGCAGGGGGTAGAGCAGAGGTCCTTCTAATTAGGAATACAGACTGTGGAAGTAGATACCAACTTCAAAAGATAACAATGCTGAAATGCAAAGCAGCACCGGCCACTCAGACGCAGACTGCAATTGTTATTCATGCAGCTCTTCAGTGATTGTCCAGTTGTCTGTGTTGTTAGCTAAGTAGTGATAATAGAATTAGATCTCCTATTGTGCATATGTAAGCCCTCAGAGATGGTGGATGACGTACTATACATAGGTTTTACAGGATAAAGTCAAGGAATGTGGATCATTGGCTTAGTGTTTGTTTACTCTGAATTTACAGTAATGTTATTTTGATCAAAGTACACCAAATGTATTGAAATAACGTACAACTCTTTGTTTCCTAGTTACTATCCTTTGTACCCACCAAATGAGGAGATAAACATTGATTTTGAAGCCATGTATAACTTTGCTATGATGCCAGTCACACCAGACGTCTTTATTGTCCCATCAGAACTCCGCTTTTTCATCAAGGTTGGCACTTGGCAGACATCTTTTATTTTTGTTGTTTGTTTTTTTGGGATTTAGCCGCTTTTGTCATACCAGATATTTGGCCATGCACACTTACAGCCATATCTCGGGAGAAAGACCAAAAAAATGCATTATCAGTGTTTAATGGCCACCAAAACCAACATTTTTATTTTGCTAGATGGTTGAAATTGAGCAACCTAACAGATTTTTTGTAGGCAACTTCGGCACTCTAGCTGTGGTGAAACTACTCGTCACATCCCGCCTCTGCCATTAAAGTCATGCCTGTGGCTGTGTCAATATTGCATTGCCTCATGGGACTTGTAGTTTCACAACAGCTAGAGTGCCGAGGTTGCATACCCCTGGATTGGGTTCCTTGAAGTGAGATATTTCCACTGATCTGTGGACCTATTGTGGCAGTTACAAGGAGGTCCTTCTTAACAGCGTGCACTTTCATTCACTTTATATTATTCAAATACAGCAGGAGAGGTGGAAGTACTCAGATTGGCAGGAACACTAAAAAGGTGAACAGTAGAGATGAGCCTAGGCTTGGTGTGAACCCAGTTCAACTGAAATCGCCCAAGTCCACTCAAAACTGTGACCCCCCTGCTCCCCCCTCCTGGCCCAATCAGTTGCGGTGGGGGCATTCTCCTCCGCTTTGTGACTAATAGCTGACCAATAGCTGCGGGGTGGGAAATGCGCCTCTCCGCGGGGGGGTTGGTGGGGGTCCAGTCATGTTTTTTGAGTGGGCCTGGATGAACTGGGTTCACATCAAGTCCAGGCTCATCACCAGTGAACAGGAACAGATTCAGGAAGTATGGTTAGAACTCTATTTTGGAGGTAGAAGAAGCCAGTTGGTGATTAAACCCATCCGTTTCCACCTATCACTGGAATATCACTTTTGGATGTGGCCCCAATATTTATTGCAAATTTCCAATGCTTAAAGTGATCACAAAAGTGTTACTGCAATGGATAGAATGAAAATTCTAATAATATGGGTCTCCCTAAAATGAATTATCCAATACCAATGGAGCTTTTTTTTTTCTACAAGGTCTACATAGGCATTAGCTGATGCCCTCATTGTACACACATCTTGGCTATTCTATTAAGTCCAGCCTCCGGTACTAATTGACAACCATTAAAGTGCAACTGAATCCAAAACTTCTTCTTTTTTTTTGCATTGGAGTGGAGAGGGATTAAAACCCCTGCCAGGTTTTATTTTGCTGTCTGTGTCCCTGTTAGGGAGATTCAACCTCACTGTTTGTCCTGGTGATCATCATCAGTGAATGTGAAAGAAAATCCCAAATTTTTAGGTTGTCATCAGAACAGGAATAGATGGGAAATCTTCCAATGGGGACACTAGCTCTGGTGACTCTGCTGACCACCGGGGATTTCCTCTTACATTCTTTTATGGCTATCAAACAATAAGTGCGACGCAGATGGCAAAAAAAGTTGATGGGTTATAGCTCCCCCTTATACTATCCCAAACTAAAAGAAAAAATAACTTTGGCTTCAATTCCATGTTAAAGTGCATCAAAAGCCAAAACCTTTCTCATTTTTGAATAGAGTAGGGAAGGGTTAGAACCCTTGTCAGGATCATTACTGTCGGTAGCCTTGGCTAGGGAGATTTAACCTCTCTTTTTTTTTTTTTTTTGTTCTTGCCATCATTGTCATCGGGACTGAAAAATGATGGGAAATCTAAAATTTTACAGTTGTCACTGGATTGGGAGCTGAGGGTAAATTTCCCAATGGGGACACCTGTTCTGGGAATTACTTTCTATTTTGGGGATTTCTTCCCCTCATCTTCTGTTGTGTTGGCAGGAAGTGAAGACAATTCTCCCCCACGGGGCACAGACTTAAAAAAGACCTGACTGGGGTTTTGCCCAAACCTTGGTGCTTGTTCACACCATGTCCTTTGAGCTGTGTTTTTCTGCACACCACTGTACATGTCAGGTGTGATTGGGAAACAAAGAAAACAGTGGTTCCCCCTGTACCCTATTCACACCATACATGTACAGTGGTGTCAAGAAAACCACAGCCCTATGGACACGGTGTGATCGAGAACATTGGACAAAATAAAAATGTAAAAAACTGGCTTTAGGAGTACTGTAAAAAATAAAACAGTGTCACCCTCTGATGGAGTGTTACTGTATCTTTGTGATCTCATTATGTCTAACCATGGGCATTCACTATACCAGGGTTGGGCAATTCCGACCCTCCAGCTGTGCTTTAACTACAAATCTCAACAGGCCTTTGCTTCTGGGAGTCACGCCTGTACCTTTCAGTCTTGCAATGCCTCATGGGACTCGTAGTTCCACAACAGCTGGAGGGTCGAAGTTGCCCACCCCTGCACTATACAATCTGATTGGACAAATCTCCTTTACCTATGTAATACAAGGGCCTGCCTGATTTGATACAAATTGAATGAATTGTTTGGTTTTGATCTTGTATTATAAAGTTTTGGTAAATCTAAAGGAAATTGGTCAGAGACTGTACAATTTAGATTTTATAAGGCCGCACTGGCTTTTAGAATACAATAGCCACAGCACTGAACAGCATAGATGGAGGAATCTATTAGATTATATTTGTTCAGCCAGCAGGCTGGGCGAAAGAAATCTATTGTACTGTGTATGGCCAGCCTAAGAGGGGATTTCCCCAAACTTTCTGTTGTGTCTCTGGTAGGGATGCACCGATACAAGTATCGGTATCAGTGCCCATGCCGAGTATTTGGTTGAGTACTCGTACTTGCCCAAATGCTCCGATGCCTAGCCAGATACTTCAGGTATCAGAATGCCGGGCAGTGCGTCATTACACGCCACCCGGCTTCCTGATTGGCCGGGAGGCCAGCTCTCTGCTTACTTGTGACGAGAGAGCATGGAGTCGGCTTCCGGCCAAACAGGAAGCCGGGCAACGTGTAATGACGCTTCCCAGCTTCCGGATTGGTCGAAAGCTGGCCAACTCTGCTTTCTGATTGGCCGGGAAGCCGGCTCCATTCTCCCTCGTCACCTAGTGATGGAGCATGGAGACGGCTTCCCTGCTAATCGGTTTGCCAGGTGGCGAGTCTTTACACGCTGCTCTGCTTCCCGGCTAATCAGGAAGCCAGGTGGTGAGTCATTAGACGCCTCCTGGCTTTCTGAATAGGACTTTCGGTATCGGCGAGTAACGGAAAAAAAATATCGGTACCCGATAGTGAAATGCTAGTGTCGGTGCATCCCTAGTCTTTGGGATAGGAAGTGAACGGAAATTTCCTCATTGGTACACACACTGCAAAATGTAAACATGACTGGGGTTTAACCCTTACATGCCCTATAAAAAAAAATATATGTTGCTCTTTAAATGATCACTAGCACAATAGTTGTAATATGTATAGATTTGAGCTAAGGGAATGTGCCAGCTGTGTTCTCTTGTCTTTCTAAATCCATCTCCTTCTCCATAGGACATCTCGGGGTGCATCTGTATTAATCCTGGCCGCCTGACAAAGGGACTGGTAGGAGGGACGTATGCTCGCCTATTGGTGAAGAGAGAGAACACGGACACCGAAAACAGGAAGTCTCCCTGTATATCTGCTCAAGTAGTGAAAATCTAACACTCTCCACACATGTTCAAATCTGATTGTACACTCTGCTTTAGAACCACCAACATTGTAGTGCCAGGGCCTACCTGATTGGCTAGATTAGGTAGGTATTCATAATACAATGTTTTGGTAAATGTAAAGTTGATTGTACAATCAGATTGTAAAGTGTGCGTTGACCCTTAGGGCCTGTTCACACCTGGGCATGCACTATTTTCAACTGCAAAGTGTGGTATTGCGGTGCTGCGCGCTGCATCGCAGTCAATCGCATTGCAGGCGGGAGCCACATTTGGGGTGCCATTCAAATGAATGGCAACGCACCTCCCGCACTGTTAACACACAGTAGGTGTGTTGTGCAGTAATATGTGTTAATCGCAGGGAACCGTGCGATTATCAGAGAGCCCTGGTGTGAATGGGCCCTTACAGAGCATCAGAGGATTGTTGGGGGAGAACCATATGTATGGACTGTACTGTGACATAAAGGAAGACAAGGACAGGTTGGCAGGGCGCTGTGCAAGAACGCTATTGACTATTGTGTGTAAGATGCAATGATCTGCTATACATTATGGCATTATAATAAAGAATTTTCACAGCCTGTGTCGGTGTAGTTTGTTTTGTATAAATAAAGTATATACAAATACAGCCTCCAGTCACGTCTAGCAAAGAGCCCGCCGTCAGTTCGTACCCCGCCCCCTTTAGTATGCAAGGGCTGTGATTGGCTGAGCCGTGTATTGCGTTGCTGTGTGTGTGTGATTGAGCAGTCAGTCGCGGCTTAGCTCTGTCCGGAGAAGGAGGACTGTGTCTCTTGCGTGCTTGGTGCGGCTAAGTTGGGGAGCGAGAACCGGAAGTGGTGGCCACTCCCAACCCACGTCCTCATCTGCCTGGGGCCAAATCTGGAGCGGGCACTCCGCCGTGCCACATTCCATAGGTGAGTGTCATCTGGAACCTCTAATGTTCGCTTACTAGAATATTTCCCATAGGAATGTTCCCGAGAGTTGCACGTGACGGTATATGTGGGCGATACCAGCCAACGTGTCTGTAACTAGAACGTGTGGTCAGGTTTAAAAGTTGATAATTGATGTTTTGCTATGTGTGCTGCGATGGCTTTACTTCTAATTTAGTGCCTACAGGCTGCCTGGTGTCGGCATGTTGTACAACGTCACCCCGCTCCCTGTTTTCTTATTACATTGTAATGACATGTTTACTGCTTTTAGAGAATGTGTGATCTGAGGTGTGGCAGCGATCAGGCACCACTTCTATACTACATCCTTATGGGATGCTATTGTAGGCTTTGATTTACAGCTGGCCATACACTATACAATCAGATTGTACGATCTCCTTTAGATTTACCAAAACTATGTAGTATGAGGTCAAACCTGAACAATCCAGTTACTATGAAATAGGGCAGGCCCTTGTGCTACATAGTTGAAGGTAGATCTAAAGGAGATAGCACAATGTATAGTCACCTTTTTAAAAGAACACACTGCATTCAATGTGCCCCAGTACTGTAAACATGGAGCTCCGGTTACATGACATACCGGCAGGCCAAATACTACCATCCTGACAGATCCGCCCTGTCCTGGCACAGAAACCTGGATGCGTTGCCCATTCAGCCTGACAGGAACGAGTGCTATCCCTTGTTTACAAACCGACGCATGCGCTCGCTCTCCCCCTTATTGCTGCACTGCAATGTGTCCCCACTTCTATACCAGGACAGGGGTGGATCTGTCAGGGTAGTAATATGTGGCCTACAGGCATGGCGTGTGAAAGCTCCATTTTTCTAAGCTGGGTGAATATTATTATTTTTGTTTACAATATTGGGGCCCCACAACTGCAAAGTAAAACGGTGAACTTGGCCTTTTAAATTCAGGAGGAAATGCGAGCAAATAATTAAATATTCAGAGGAATACACATCCTAGTGCACCTCAGACGGCCCGAGTTTCCCATTCAGAAGTCGGCAAGGGGGGGGAGGGGGCAACATTTGCATACAATTAGACCTTGCATGTCAATGCCTTTTTATTAGTACAAAACAGAATTTCTATGCATGTAACTAAATAGATTAATAATGAATATATTGGGTATTGACTGGTCAATTACCACACGGGTGGTCAGTGCCAGCCCTCAAGCTTTTGTGGCACTACAAGTCCCAGGAGTCATTACAAGGCTGACTGTTACAGGCATGACTCCCAGAGGGATTTGTAGTTTTACCCCAGCTGGAGGGCCAAAGTTGCCCACCGCTGCAATTAACAAGTCTTATAAAGGCTTAGTTCACTTTTCTGACCATGTTTCATATCACACCCGTATTTAGGGTGCAACATGAAACAAGTGTCCAAGGTCCTGTAGCACACCTTACCAGAATTCCCATAGGTAGAAGTGGGTGCTCGCAATGACTGCGGATGGCGCCGCATTAAAGCAACAATAGTTGCGAGGATATGTCACCAGCACTCCAGAATGACAAACGAGTCCATTTTAGTGAATCTCCATTTTTTATTTGTTAAGAGGTCACTCAAAGTAGGGTGACCCTACTTTGAGTGACCTCTTAAAAAAATGGAGATTCACTAAAATGGACTCGTTTGTCATTCTGGAGTGCTGGTGACATATCCTCGCAACTATTTCAACGTGAAACAAGGTCACACTCCCCGACCACAAATCGCTTACATGAATTGCTGGGTGCTTCTCCCCGCTGCCTTCGGGTTTTCTTCTGAATTTAGCATGACTGTGTATGGCTCCGCACCCACAGCTGCATTCATCCTTTCACAGGGATCTGTCAATGGAAAGTTTACTAGTCCCATCTGCTCTAGCGGCGGAGGAACTCAATGGAGCACAAGGTGACGTCACCACAGTTGTAGTCCAATGACTGCTTCCTTCAGCTCTGTAACAAGGACCATACCCGGGTATGGACCTGGGCGTGGGGGAGAGTTTGCAAAAAGCCTGCCCATTGCACCCGCAGCCTTCAATGCAAAAAAGTATTCCATGCAGATTTTTATTCTGCTAACGTGGGTACATTTTTGCAAAGAAAGTGGAGTATGCCTTTAAAGCGGAACTGTTCCCACTTTGCAAGGATTGATTGCACTTTATATACTAAGTACTTATTTATATGGTCATTAATGATGGGCGTTATATGGTGTTTGTGAGCACTCTACGATACATATGCCTTATCCCTATCTGCATGTACACAAACCAGAAATATGTGTCCAGGATCCATTTGGTCTGGTTTTATGCAGATTAATGTGATCACATCCTCCATTCATAGTACATGTACTGGATGTTCTTTTACTGACAATTTAGATTCTTGTGCAATCAGTTCCAGGAACAGAGTCACAGCCCTGGATAACTTTGTACACAGGGTGAGATTGTCATATTTATGATGGGATGCCCTCTAAAGTCAATGGCACCCCATTGCACATCCCCTGTGCATCACAATGAACAGATGTGAACCATCTGTGAGTTGTGTGGTAAAAAAAAAAATAGGCGGGTGCGCTGGAAGCCCGCTCAAAATGAATGGGTTGCCTTACCACAAGGCACATTCATGCAAATGCGGTAATGCAACACAAATATGTAATTCTGGATTGAAATGTCCCTATGCATATAGACATCAAAGTGCAGTTACACTTCTATTTTACCTTGGCCTGCCCCCAACTTCCCTGCAAGTGTTCTGCTCTCCTCTACCCGATCCAGTGAGATATTGCCCATAATGCAGAGCTGCTTGTCAATCTTCTGAGCTGGGCCTACACATGTACTGTACTCTCTCCATTCCATCCTATGGGACAGTTCATACCCTGCCAGAGTGGGCAGCCCAAGGTACAGTGTGAGGGCCGGTGCACACCTAGGCGACACTCACCCCGGGGCAATTGTACACATTTCTGCGTGGATTGGCCACGCGGTCAGGAGTCGCCCAGGTGTGCACCAATCGCACAGTGGGTGCCATTATTTTCCAATGCCACCCCAGTCGCGCCGGGTAGATTGCACGGTTTCCTTTTGCGATTCCGCCCGTGCTTCTGAACACGAAACAGCCGCACATCTCAAAAAAGGTACTTGTGAATTTTTTCTGCGCTTGCCGCACGGATGTCACCCAATAAAACAGCCGCACATCGTGTATCGCAGAAAAAAGGTACGAGTACCTTTTTTTTTTCTGCGATACACGACCAGCGGCTGTTTTTAGAAGCTGCGTGCTGGGGTGCCATTGGAAAATAATGGCACCCACAGCGCGATCGGTGCACACCTGGGTGACTCCTGACCGCGTGGGCAATGGGGTGTCTTCTAGGTGTGCAGTGGCCCTTAGTGTAACTGCACCAGAGTGTGCAGGTTTAGGCTAGGTTCAGACCTAGGCGATTCAGATGCTGAGCGGTTTTTGCACGTTTTCGATCGCGCAACTGTTCATTGTATATTGCGCAATTTTCAATGCCTGGATATGTCTATGGGACCCATACCGTGTGACAAGCGGCCGAAAATAGCTCCTGCACCTTTTCGCGCGACAAACCGCAAATGTGTGAACAGCCTCCATTGACTTCAATGCGAAGCTGTGTTTTGCGTGATATTGCATGATAAATCGCCTAGGTGTGCACCGGCCCTTAGGCTTTTCATCCCTATAGACGTGAATAGGGCCATACACTGAGGATCTTTGGTCTCAGGCCCATTCTGTAGGGACTCCATGCACAATTGTGCACAGCACTCAAGACAATTTCTTTGGAGTTGATGTTAACACTGTATCAACAAAAAACTTCTCCTTGCACTAGGGCTACTCCCACAATGCGAGGGTTAAGTGCTAATTTTGTCTAGGGCTCAAATAAAGCAGATGTACTCACCTGATCCATGGTCCCATCAGGATGCCAGACCGGTTCCTGCAGCCCCTTCTCCCCCAGGCTCTGGCGGTCCAAGAACTGCTGACATCATTATGTTTAATGCAGGTCCATTGACTTGCATTAGACATGAGGACACTGAGGGAAACCTCCTAGACAAAACAAGCACTTAACCCTTACAGTGTGGACATAAGGGGACATAGTGGATAATCCATTGGGGTCAGTAATTGTAAAAAGGTTAAGAACACTAATTTACACTATTGGATATAGATTGAATGGGATATGTTGATACTTCCTCACCTTACATGGCACATTTAAAGGTGTTAAGCTGGCCATACACTGGTTGTCGAGGCCACCCCCTAATCCCCCCACCCTTGTTTGACAAAAGTCAATTTTTCAATAGACTTCAGAATAAAACTGCATGCACAAGTTTTTGCAATCGCGGTGCACTGGAACGCACAGCATTGCGGTACCGTGCGGGCGATCACACTGTGGGTGGGAGGTGCGTTTGGGCTGCCATTGAAATGAATGGCACTGCAACACACCTCCCGCAGAAGAATCTGCCAGACCGAAACAAAAAAATTACTTTCCCACCTTTTATCATTAGTTTTTTTAATAATTGTATTGTAAGCACATGGCGCTTGAATAGGTTCAGCCAGGGAATGACAGCAGCCAGTGGCAGTTCCGGACGGCAGCTGAATGTAAATACAGCAGGTAGTGGGTGGGTGCAATAGCTGGCCTGCTATTGCCCATTTCCATCTGCAATAGCAGGCTGGCTATTGCACCCTATCATAGGGGACACAGAGCTGATAAAACACTGTCTCCCCGCGTGGAGGAGAGAGCTAGGGGATCCAACCAACTAATCGATGATGAGAATAGTTGAGAACTATTCTCATTATTGATTAGTTGGTTGCAGTCCTAATCAAAGGTCGGCCATGTGTGAATCGGTGCATACAATAGTAGAGCGGTTCTGTTCAGTCTAAAGCTGGCCATACACCTTACAACCATCGCCAGACTTTCGTTGTGCGATGGTTGTAAGGTGATTCAAATTTCGTATGATCTGCCCATCTTGGACACGCAGATCGTACTTGTGATCATCTCAAGCCCTCCACGCTGAGAGGAGAGCTTT